AAAATATACTAGGCATGATTTAGCATTTTTTAAAAATTCAAAAAATAATTTTTCATAATTTTTTTTATTTAATAACCAATTTATTAAAGTCATGAAAACTTGGCCTACATTTCAAAAACACCAAAATATTTATTTTGTTTTCTTTTAATATACAAGATTATAAACTTATATGTAAGATATATTCCCGATATTGGATAAATTAACTCTTTTATTTATTTATTTATTTAACATTAGAATGGTTGAGTTTTTGGTGGATATTAGACAACAATATAGTGTCTTAAGCTCTCAAAAATTTGCCCCAATCTCGAATTTTTACAACTTGTTTAAAAAGAATATTGTATTATTCTGCTTTTGAAAAATTGGTTTAAATCAAAATGATATTGTTATATTTTTGTAATTTTTTTGGTGTTTTGAGAACAAAATAGTGATCTTCTTAAATAATTGTTGGCAGTGACATTATTGTCCTTACTGGAAGTGAGAGTAACGGCGATAGTTTTTGTTTGAAAACAAACCCTAATGGTAATTGAATGGGATTTTTGTTATTTATTGGGTTAAGTGGTACTTTAGACATTAAATAAAAGTAATGGTAAATTTGTAAATAAATAGATTATTTTTTTAGTCAAAAGATTTATAGGACGCAAAGTGTCATGCACGAATCCAAATATAAGTTAAAAAACATGATTATTTTTTTTTTAAATCAATGAACAAGTATCATTTGGTCAAAACCATAGGATGATAGGGTAATTTTTTCTTTTTAAAAAATGAATAATAATCTCTAATAGGACAAAGAGAAAATTTAAATTGGAGACCGTTAAATTGGCAGAGCCCACCAATTTAATAGATACAAGATTTTATTATTTTTATTCGCTTCTGTCTTCGACACCCCGCACACAATTTCCATCTCATAAGAGCAGAAAATCCTTTCGCAAAAACTAGAAAAGTCCCGGTTATAAAAGACACCATTTTCACTTAGCTATACTTCACATTCTAATGCATGAAAATCCTACACAATCAAGCATTCAATTCCAAGACTTTGAAAATTGCAACTTAATTATAAGAATATCTCGGAAAGAAGGTTTCAAATATGGCTAAATATCATAAAACCAATAGAACTTAATATAATTAAAACATTGATGCATTCAAGCATATAAAAACTAAAGGTTTTGAATAATTAAATGAAAATATATCATGTCACAAATGAATATGATCTAACAAATATTTTTATAAATCAATGAAATAAAAATAAATTTTAAAAAAAATTAATCTAGTTATATCAAATTAGCATAGCAATTAAAAATATACCATAACTTTCTATTACACACCAATGAATCAAGCTTCTTCTTCTTTTTTAGTTGAATTTTATTCAGGAGGCTCTAAAAACTCGATTCTATTGGATACTTGCTCCACTAAATCATTTCCTACATGGATTTTCTTCCTCAAAAGATAATGCTTGAATCAATTTTATTATTTTTCCTTGAGTTTTTTGGATTTCTTATATAAGATTCTGATTATTAATAGTTTGATACTAGCTGTCACACCCAGATATCGCAGCAACTGATAAAAAATCATCTTAATTGAAAAAAATAGATATCTAGCAGCTCATTTTTTGGGAAGAAAAGTTAAGAAGTCGCCACTTAGTATTATGATCACTAAAAACCCTAACTAGTTAATAGAGATTTTATGGTACGAGATTGATTACATGAAAGGAAAGATGTTATCACCCCTTAAACATCCTACCTGAAGCAGGTTGCATTGCCAATTTTATCTAAAATTGATAAAAGTTTGTTGTATTATGTTTTTCATGGTCCGCCTAGGATATTCCTGACTCTGGCATTAGTGAATACTCCAACTTTAGTGTTGGTAAATATTGCATAGCCCAGAAAGTGTGGTACTCCTATTTGTAGTACCAATAAATAAATCCATAAAATTCTATATTAAATAAAATAATTTTTTTTAATTATCTTTTTTTGGACTGGATCTAGTGGTTGGGTTTAGTGGCGGAGCTAGAATTTTTTAAATAAGAGGGCAAACTATTAACAAATAGTTGATATTGTGTATTCTGTAGGCATGCATTATATTAAAAAATCAATTTGAAATATATGTACTAACTCATATCAAACAAAATTAATTTAAAAATATTTTCAAAATAAAACAACGTACATTATAATTGTTCTTTTTGAGTTTTATATTTTAAAATTGCTTCATAATAACTTTATTATATATACAATCAAACTCTCATTCATCTATTTTTAGTTTAAGGTAGGTTCAATGCTTGTGTTTTCTAAATCTTCTAAAAAATAATGAAGTTCTTGACAATAATTTTATAATGACATATGGTAGAAAGTAACTAAAACCATAACTTAAAAGGATTGTCATGACAAATTGATATTGCTATTGTTAACTTATTGTCTTCTACACGTGGGTTAAACATAAATATTAAATATTTTTTTATTTCTCTATTATATCTTTAATTTTTTGAGTTGTCTTATACTTCATTTTTAATCACTAGTAAATTCATTACCATCCATTTTCTATATGAAATTTATAGTAAAATACTTATCAATTCATTAAAACTCATTTCAATTCAATTCATATCCATATGCATATAATATTACTCATACATATATTAATTCACAAACTCTTAAATTATTATAAATCTTAATATTTTCAATAATTAATTGTAAAGGAATAAAATTAAAATTAAACAATGAAACAAATAGAAAAGATAAAGAAAACTTACCTAAAGTATAAAAAGTTATTTACTTAATTAATTAATAACTTAGTACTTGAAGAGAAATTTTGTAAAAGAAAAGGAGACGAATAGTAGCTCAAAAGAAAAAAAAGAAGCTTTCGGTTAATTAATGAAAGAAAAAAAATAGTGAAATGTGTTATATATATATTATGTTGTAAGTTAGCAATAGCTAACTTGGGTTAATTAGTAGCTAACAAAAAAAATTAAACATGTTAAAATATTATTAACATTCTAATATAAAAAAGTATTTTTAAAAAAGAAATGTTTAAAGGGGTGATTATATATTTTAATATAAAATATGTTAAAAAAAATTAAGAAGATAATTATTCTTTTTTGACACTACTTGGTTTCGCCACTGGTCGGGTTCACCATTGGTCGGGTTGGATCTAGCCAACCCGCTAAGAACCGACTGGTCACTGTTGCGCACATGCGTAAACAATTCACGCATGCGCGCAACAATGACAGGGTAATTAAATTCGTATATACAGTGAGACAAGTGAATTATATTTGCAAAGGCAGGGAATAGGAGACTTACCTGGTTCGCTGGAGAAGAAACGGGCTGATATGGTAATGGCTGACCAATGCTACTTCTTTTCCTCCACTCTTTCTCTGATTTTTGGATCACTGGAGAAGAACTGATCGATGCTAGTTCCTCTCCGTTCTTTTTCTGGTTCCCTGTTTTGTTTGTCTTGCCTTATATTGTTCGTTCCCTCCTTGTGTTTACCTTCTGCTGGCAATGGGAACCTCTCCTGGACGCTGCTCTCGGTTGAAGATAGGATGTTGGACACTACTTCTACTACTCACGATGGTAACTTGCTGAGAAAAGGATGTCGGTTGCTCGCAGTGGCAGCTTGTTGAGAGGAGCTGCTGTCATTAGTTGCTGATGGTGCGACTGAAAGTCAAGTTGCTAAAAACAGCACTGTCGCTGCTGGGAAGAGGAGGTTGTTGTTGGTTCTACCACTGCAGCTGAGGGAAGGTGTGGCTGAGGAGCACCCGACGTTGCTGTTTCAATAAAAAAAAAGACTCCCAAGTGCTGCTGCCATCCGAAGAGAAGGGATTCAAGTTCTCTGCCAACCGGATGCTGCTGAAACAAGTCTCCTATTGTTGCTATGGCGCAAAGAAGAAGCTCTTGCTGGACTGGGAAAACAAACGAAGGCGTCTCCTGCAACACCTGCCAAAAGCCTATATGGTGGCTTTTGGAGGTTGAAAGGGGGTGGCGGCAGAGAGCAGAAAGTGGAATATCAAGAATGTTGAAACTTTGGACTCTTGCTGGTGATCACGGTTTTGAACTAAAAGATCCCTACAGTTAAAGACAAAGCTACTACTCACAATTTAAAAATCTGTTGTTGGAGGAGGAGTGCATGTTGGACGGCTTATGGTATTGCATAAAGGAAGATGATGTGCTGGAGAAGAAGAAGTAGCATTGCTGATTTACTGATGTGGTCGTCGCTAGTGCAGAAGGAGGAAACTTGCTGCTGTTACTGCAATAATTAATCCTCTTCCCTCCTTCGAAGGCCCCGTTCTCTTTCCTTCTTTGTTTGGCCATGGGGAGGGAGTCCAATATTCTTTGCAAGTAACGGCTAAGAAGGAAAAAAAAAGATGGCTTGGTGCTATTGAGCATTAACCAGGGCTGCTGGGGTAGGCTTTGCTCCGTGGAGGTTTGTGGAGGTCAGGCTAGAAAAAAAAAAAAAAAAAAAAGAGTTAAAGGTGGACGGACGGCTAGTATAGGGTTTACCATTCATCCTCTTTTTTATTTTATGTTTTTATGTTTTAGAGTTTTTGTTAATGATCTTCTTTTCTTTTGTATCCCGTTATCTATATTTATAATACAAGAATCCTATTATAGATAAAAAATAAAATTTTAGTCAAACTCATTTTTTTTTTAAAGTTTAAATTTAATTAAAAATTAAATTCAAAAACAAATAACTATTATTATCTTAAAAATAAAAATTATCTTCTTGAAGATAAAAATAGAATAATAAAAACATATTATAGCCCCTAGTTCTTATACAACTTGATAAATCATACTTTTCATCTAAATAAAACTTTAATCTTCTTATTTTATATTTAAAACCCAATAAAATTAATTTAAAATTCAATAAATTAAAATTGAATTACAACACTTGCAAAGTTGATTTTTCTTGCCTATTTAAAAAAGTTGTAAATCTCGTTGGTAGACTTTATTTCAGAAAATAAAACTTGAATTTAGATTGTGTTTGCAACCCTTTTTTGTACTCCTACTCCCGTCTGCATATAAAAACCTTCTCAAAATGCTTGGACGTTTATTTCAAAAAGTAGCAATGACATGTAGTTACCAAAAAAAAAAAAAAATCAGAGCAAATCATGGAATCAAAAGAATCCTGGAAGCAATGGGTAAATACACTTGAGCAACCCAAAGCTAACCCGCATTTTTCAATGCAAGAATCGGTAAGTCAATTTAACGAACCATGCACATCATGGAATCAAAAGAAAGGATGTCTGCATAAAAAAATCAAAAACATCCAGTAGATAATTGAAATCTATATGCCAGATCCGACAATGTCTCGGGTCAAAGAAAACCCGACCGGATATGACCTGTGTATTCTCGTCTTCACAGTTCTGACTTTTTCACCAGGGTAGATATCAAGATCATTCTTCACATTTTCTACTGGTTTCTCAACTTTATCCGACTCTTTGGTTTCAGCGATAAATTGAAGACCCTGAAACAATATGAGGGACCATGTCATGGAAAATGGAATGGGGAATAAGTGAAGAAAATGGGAGTTGACATACCTTTAGAGACCTTTCTTCATATGCCATTGCTGAAGGGTTCGCTAGCTTAGCACCAACATCCTAACAAAATCCCAAGGTAAAATAGTTCAATTAGTAATTAAGTACAACGATTGACAAGGTGCGACCAGAATCAGCCCAAGATGCCCATCCTCAACTCCTCACAGAGCAAGGGTCACAACCTGGGCATTATCCATGTAGATGCCAATAAAGTTGGCAAAGCAAGCTGGGAGAACGAAGAGGGAAGAGGCAGGTAGATAGTGGATAATTGGCAAAACGTCCATCACCTAAAATTATTATAAGCGGAAAGGAGGTTAAATCGCAGCAGATGGTTATCAGACCTGATAAACTTTTGTACCAAACCCGTCTTTAAAGCCTCCAGCAAATTGACATAGGTGCCAGAGACCAGAGTTTGTGGTATCCTGCATGGCATGGATTCAAAAATTTCTGAGCCACTGCAAATTGCTAGAAAGAACTCATTGAGTAAGAAGACGAAATGAAACCTGTTTGCTTTCTAGAAGTTCAAGCTTTCCTTCCTGTTGAGATTTTTGAGATATGAGTAGTCAACAAAGGCATCCTTCAATCAGAACTAAATTTAAGAAATAAGAAGCAGCATCACAACTCACCAGGCCAGATATCATTTGATGGATTGATTCAACATCATATCCGATTTGGGAAAGGTTTGATTTCATCTCATCTACCTGCATGCAAGTAATTGCAAGTAGAACCATAGCTGAAATACATGTCTATCTTGATATGAGATGATCTAGTTAAAATAATACCTGCTGTCTGCATATTCATTTGTGAGTGGGTATGGGAGTTCATAAGAAACAGAATCAGATGCATTGGGACACAAATTTCCACATTTTTCTTAATTTATCAGAAAGAGAATCCTTTGGGCATGGTGGATGCAGACCTTCCTTTCTGAAGATCATTACGCAGTCCTATTCTATGTAAAACAGGATTATGTGAAGAGTCACTGGGTTGAAATTGTGCTCTTCAATGCGAAGCTGCTCCGCACCCAATATTTCTACCACCACAATAAACCATGATCCCAAATTCTAATTCAAACTGTACCCAAATCAACAGATACATAGATTCTCAATATCAAACAAGGTTCTTCTTTATTAAGCCCCCCCTCGCAATCAAACAAGGTTCTTCTTTATTAAGCCCCTCTTTATTAAGCCCCCCCTCGCGGTATATATTTAAATCCATGTCACTACAGGCAAGGAATAGAGTGAGGTCACTGAGGTGAACTATTTAAGCTACACAAAAAGAAAGAAAATATTGTGCGAAAAGAAAACAGGGGAAACCTATTAATGTAGCTTATATATTACATGTTTTCTCAATCACAACTTTGAGTAATAAATTAAGCTGTTGTAACCTTTGGTTTCACCAGATTCTCAAATCCAACCTTTCGTTACTTAAGTCTATCAAACTTAACAAGCACATGATTTTTCATTTCTCAATCAAATTAAATGTCCCTCTTCTCTACCCTATTTCCTCTCTATTATTCTGCCTTTTCCCTTCTCTTTTCTACTCTGCATCATGTTGCCTTTCTGTTCTATGACCACATAACAGACCAGGTTCACAAGGTAGCTCAATCAAGTTCAAGTTCATGTTCCTACTGTGCTACAGATTTCTACAAGCTGAGCTAGACATGTTAAGTGATGGTTAGCTAAGCTTGGCTTGTATACAATTAAGCACACCTTATGCCCTAGGAAATGAAGAAAGGTGGGAAAATAAGAAAGAGAGAGAAATAATTGATATCTATCAATAGTAGAAGGAGAATATTGAAAGTACATCACTGGCAATGAGCTTAGATGTTTCTATCTGCTCCTCAATCTTCCAGTCCAGATTTTCCAGCCTTTTTGTTAGATGTCTTTTTGTTGACTGCACAAGTTCATGGCCGATTGAGAACTAAGAATACTGCAAAGGATCCAAAAAATAGAGTTGCTATATAAGACATAAGACTTATTCAAAAGAATAGCCCATACTACTTACAGCCAATGTTTCTGATACATTCTCCATTTGTTTTGACACAGTTGCAACAGCATTTGCCATATTTTTCTTTGTTACAAACATTACATCTGAAAATGACCAGTCCTGTGCCATAAAGCAAATAGATGATGCATACACACTTCAATCAGGAAGAAGCCAATGTGTTAACAAGTGCAACACCGTCAGCATTTGTGAGAAGAAATACTTTTAATTTTAAGCATTAAGAATCTTGCCTTCCACCACATGTAACAATATCCCATTGCTCCAAGAGCAGCAGCTGGCACTAGGTAAGATGAGAAACTCCCTATGTGTACAAGAGAATTTACAAGTGTTGTTACATTTTGAACTCTTCTATCAAGATTTACTAATAGAAATGTCGCAACTTGCCAAAAATATATAATAAAACTATGCATTTTTTAGAAGTCCAAATGAATCCTTTTTTTTTTTTTTGTTAGAAAGCTAAGAAAAATAACCACAACTAGCATGAAGACCATGTATTCAAAAATGAAAAAGTTACACTAATTGTGTAAGAATAAATATAGTACAAACTCAACATGGACTTTAATATTTATATTCAAGAAAGTTTTCTATTAATATATTTTAGTTAAGTTTATTTTTGCTAAAATGAAAAAGTTACACTAATTGTGTAAGAATAAATATAGTACAAACTCAACATGGACTTTAATATTTATATTCAAGAAAGTTTTCTATTAATATATTTTAGTTAAGTTTATTTTTGCTAAAATGAAAAAGTTACACTAATTGTGTAAGAATAAATATAGTACAAACTCAACATGGACTTTAATATTTATATTCAAGAAAGTTTTCTATTAATATATTTTAGTTAAGTTTATTTTTGCTAAAATGAAAAAGTTACACTAATTGTGTAAGAATAAATATAGTACAAACTCAACATGGACTTTAATATTTATATTCAAGAAAGTTTTCTATTAATATATTTTAGTTAAGTTTATTTTTGCTAAAATGAAAAAGTTACACTAATTGTGTAAGAATAAATATAGTACAAACTCAACATGGACTTTAATATTTATATTCAAGAAAGTTTTCTATTAATATATTTTAGTTAAGTTTATTTTTGCTAAAATGAAAAAGTTACACTAATTGTGTAAGAATAAATATAGTACAAACTCAACATGGACTTTAATATTTATATTCAAGAAAGTTTTCTATTAATATATTTTAGTTAAGTTTATTTTTGCTAAAATGAAAAAGTTACACTAATTGTGTAAGAATAAATATAGTACAAACTCAACATGGACTTTAATATTTATATTCAAGAAAGTTTTCTATTAATATATTTTAGTTAAGTTTATTTTTGCTAAAATGAAAAAGTTACACTAATTGTGTAAGAATAAATATAGTACAAACTCAACATGGACTTTAATATTTATATTCAAGAAAGTTTTCTATTAATATATTTTAGTTAAGTTTATTTTTGCTAAAATGAAAAAGTTACACTAATTGTGTAAGAATAAATATAGTACAAACTCAACATGGACTTTAATATTTATATTCAAGAAAGTTTTCTATTAATATATTTTAGTTAAGTTTATTTTTGCTAAAATGAAAAAGTTACACTAATTGTGTAAGAATAAATATAGTACAAACTCAACATGGACTTTAATATTTATATTCAAGAAAGTTTTCTATTAATATATTTTAGTTAAGTTTATTTTTGCTAAAATGAAAAAGTTACACTAATTGTGTAAGAATAAATATAGTACAAACTCAACATGGACTTTAATATTTATATTCAAGAAAGTTTTCTATTAATATATTTTAGTTAAGTTTATTTTTGCTAAAATGAAAAAGTTACACTAATTGTGTAAGAATAAATATAGTACAAACTCAACATGGACTTTAATATTTATATTCAAGAAAGTTTTCTATTAATATATTTTAGTTAAGTTTATTTTTGCTAAAATGAAAAAGTTACACTAATTGTGTAAGAATAAATATAGTACAAACTCAACATGGACTTTAATATTTATATTCAAGAAAGTTTTCTATTAATATATTTTAGTTAAGTTTATTTTTGCTAAAATGAAAAAGTTACACTAATTGTGTAAGAATAAATATAGTACAAACTCAACATGGACTTTAATATTTATATTCAAGAAAGTTTTCTATTAATATATTTTAGTTAAGTTTATTTTTGCTAAAATGAAAAAGTTACACTAATTGTGTAAGAATAAATATAGTACAAACTCAACATGGACTTTAATATTTATATTCAAGAAAGTTTTCTATTAATATATTTTAGTTAAGTTTATTTTTGCTAAAATGAAAAAGTTACACTAATTGTGTAAGAATAAATATAGTACAAACTCAACATGGACTTTAATATTTATATTCAAGAAAGTTTTCTATTAATATATTTTAGTTAAGTTTATTTTTGCTAAAATGAAAAAGTTACACTAATTGTGTAAGAATAAATATAGTACAAACTCAACATGGACTTTAATATTTATATTCAAGAAAGTTTTCTATTAATATATTTTAGTTAAGTTTATTTTTGCTAAAATGAAAAAGTTACACTAATTGTGTAAGAATAAATATAGTACAAACTCAACATGGACTTTAATATTTATATTCAAGAAAGTTTTCTATTAATATATTTTAGTTAAGTTTATTTTTGCTAAAATGAAAAAGTTACACTAATTGTGTAAGAATAAATATAGTACAAACTCAACATGGACTTTAATATTTATATTCAAGAAAGTTTTCTATTAATATATTTTAGTTAAGTTTATTTTTGCTAAAATGAAAAAGTTACACTAATTGTGTAAGAATAAATATAGTACAAACTCAACATGGACTTTAATATTTATATTCAAGAAAGTTTTCTATTAATATATTTTAGTTAAGTTTATTTTTGCTAAAATGAAAAAGTTACACTAATTGTGTAAGAATAAATATAGTACAAACTCAACATGGACTTTAATATTTATATTCAAGAAAGTTTTCTATTAATATATTTTAGTTAAGTTTATTTTTGCTAAAATGAAAAAGTTACACTAATTGTGTAAGAATAAATATAGTACAAACTCAACATGGACTTTAATATTTATATTCAAGAAAGTTTTCTATTAATATATTTTAGTTAAGTTTATTTTTGCTAAAATGAAAAAGTTACACTAATTGTGTAAGAATAAATATAGTACAAACTCAACATGGACTTTAATATTTATATTCAAGAAAGTTTTCTATTAATATATTTTAGTTAAGTTTATTTTTGCTAAAATGAAAAAGTTACACTAATTGTGTAAGAATAAATATAGTACAAACTCAACATGGACTTTAATATTTATATTCAAGAAAGTTTTCTATTAATATATTTTAGTTAAGTTTATTTTTGCTAAAATGAAAAAGTTACACTAATTGTGTAAGAATAAATATAGTACAAACTCAACATGGACTTTAATATTTATATTCAAGAAAGTTTTCTATTAATATATTTTAGTTAAGTTTATTTTTGCTAAAATGAAAAAGTTACACTAATTGTGTAAGAATAAATATAGTACAAACTCAACATGGACTTTAATATTTATATTCAAGAAAGTTTTCTATTAATATATTTTAGTTAAGTTTATTTTTGCTAAAATGAAAAAGTTACACTAATTGTGTAAGAATAAATATAGTACAAACTCAACATGGACTTTAATATTTATATTCAAGAAAGTTTTCTATTAATATATTTTAGTTAAGTTTATTTTTGCTAAAATGAAAAAGTTACACTAATTGTGTAAGAATAAATATAGTACAAACTCAACATGGACTTTAATATTTATATTCAAGAAAGTTTTCTATTAATATATTTTAGTTAAGTTTATTTTTGCTAAAATGAAAAAGTTACACTAATTGTGTAAGAATAAATATAGTACAAACTCAACATGGACTTTAATATTTATATTCAAGAAAGTTTTCTATTAATATATTTTAGTTAAGTTTATTTTTGCTAAAATGAAAAAGTTACACTAATTGTGTAAGAATAAATATAGTACAAACTCAACATGGACTTTAATATTTATATTCAAGAAAGTTTTCTATTAATATATTTTAGTTAAGTTTATTTTTGCTAAAATGAAAAAGTTACACTAATTGTGTAAGAATAAATATAGTACAAACTCAACATGGACTTTAATATTTATATTCAAGAAAGTTTTCTATTAATATATTTTAGTTAAGTTTATTTTTGCTAAAATGAAAAAGTTACACTAATTGTGTAAGAATAAATATAGTACAAACTCAACATGGACTTTAATATTTATATTCAAGAAAGTTTTCTATTAATATATTTTAGTTAAGTTTATTTTTGCTAAAATGAAAAAGTTACACTAATTGTGTAAGAATAAATATAGTACAAACTCAACATGGACTTTAATATTTATATTCAAGAAAGTTTTCTATTAATATATTTTAGTTAAGTTTATTTTTGCTAAAATGAAAAAGTTACACTAATTGTGTAAGAATAAATATAGTACAAACTCAACATGGACTTTAATATTTATATTCAAGAAAGTTTTCTATTAATATATTTTAGTTAAGTTTATTTTTGCTAAAATGAAAAAGTTACACTAATTATGTAAGAAAAAGAGAGAGAAATAATTGATATCTATCAATAGTAAAAGGAGAATATTGAAAGTACATCACTGGCAATGAGCTTAGATGTTTCTATCTGCTCCTCAATCTTCCAGTCCAGATTTTCCAGCCTTTTTGTTAGATGTCTTTTTGTTGACTGCACAAGTTCATGGCCGATTGAGAACTAAGAATACTGCAAAGGATCCAAAAAATAGAGTTGCTATATAAGACATAAGACTTATTCAAAAGAATAGCCCATACTACTTACAGCCAATGTTTCTGATACATTCTCCATTTGTTTTGACACAGTTGCAACAGCATTTGCCATATTTTTCTTTGTTACAAACATTACATCTGAAAATGACCAGTCCTGTGCCATAAAGCAAATAGATGATGCATACACACTTCAATCAGCAAGAAGCCAATGAGCTAACAAGTGCAACACCGTCAGCATTTATGAGAAGAAATACTTTTAATTTTAAGCATTAAGAATCTTGCCTTCCACCACATGTAACAATATCCCATTGCTCCAAGAGCAGCAGCTGGCACTAGGTAAGATGAGAAACTCCCTATGTGTACAAGAGAATTTACAAGTGTTGTTACATTTTGAACTCTTCTATCAAGATGTACTAATAGAAATGTCGCAACTTGCCAAAAATATATAATAAAACTATGCACTTATTAGAAGTCCAAATGAATCCTTTTTTTTTTTGTTAGAAAATTGAGATAAATAACCACAACTTTCATGAAAACCATGTATTCAAATCCTAATATTATCAATAATGTTTTATCCAGCTATCAAATCAATAACTAGCCACCAAATTAATAATTCTAAACTTTAGCCTATAAAAAGAGACATTTACCATACCTTTAGGCATCTGAGTTTTCAAATAAAAATATTATTCTTGCTTTTTTTTCTTTGTATTTTTGTAATATTCAAGTTTTATTTTATGTTATATTTTCATTAATCTCTTGTTTATGCTTATCATTTCTTTTACTATACTTAGTCAATTTATATCATAACTATGTTCTTATCTTGTTTATTTATGTTTTTTTTCTTCATTATATTTAGTTAAGTTTATTTTTTCCAAAGTGAAAAAGTTACACTAATTGTGTAAAAATAAATATAGTACAAACTCAACATGGACTTTAATATTTATATTCAAGAAAGTTTTCTATTAATATATTTTAGTTAAGTTTATTTTTGCTAAAATGAAAAAGTTACACTAATTATGTAAGAAAAAATATAGTACAAACTCAACATGGACTTTAATGTTTATATTCAAGAAAGTTTGCTATTAATATATTTTATAATTGTTATCTTACTCATTCTTAAAACCTTATTTGTTAAATGGTTAGTCTAGATTCATGGTATACAACTTTTGGCACAACAAATACTTGATTCTTTCATAGCCTACTGTATGGATAACTGACATTTATGTTATAAAAGAAACTCAATTTGTTGTTGAAATGAATTAGTACCATGGATACCACTGTATGGATAACTGACATTTATGTTATCAAAAGGAACTCAATTTGTTGTGGACATAAGTTAGTACCATGAATATCTAATATTACAAACATTACATCTGAAAATGACCAGTCCTGTGCCATAAAGCAAATAGATGATGCATACACACTTCAATCAGGAAGAAGCCAATGTGTTAACAAGTGCAACACCGTCAGCATTTGTGAGAAGAAATACTTTTAATTTTAAGCATTAAGAATCTTGCCTTCCACCACATGTAACAATATCCCATTGCTCCAAGAGCAGCAGCTGGCACTAGGTAAGATGAGAAACTCCCTATGTGTACAAGAGAATTTACAAGTGTTGTTACATTTTGAACTCTTCTATCAAGATGTACTAATAGAAATGTCGCAACTTGCCAAAAATATATAATAAAACTATGCATTTTTTAGAAGTCCAAATGAATCCTTTTTTTTTTTTTTGTTAGAAAGCTAAGATAAATAACCACAACTTTCATGAAGACCATGTATTCAAAACCTAATATTATCAATAATGTTTTATCCAGCTATCAAATCAATAGTTAGCCACCAAATTAATAATTCTAAACTTTATCCTATAAAAAGAGGCATTTACCATACCTTTAGGCATCTGAATTTCAAATAAAAATATTGTTCTTGCTTTTTTTTTCTTTGTATTTTTGTAATGTTCAAGTTTTATTTTATGTTATATTTTCATTAATCTCTTGTTTATGCTTATCATTTCTTTTACTATACTTAGTCAATTTATATCATAACTATGTTCTTATCTTGTTTATTTATGTTTTTTTTCTTCATTATATTTAGTTAAGTTTATTTTTTCCAAAGTGAAAAAGTTACACTAATTGTGTAAAAATAAATATAGTACAAACTCAACATGGACTTTAATATTTATATTCAAGAAAGTTTTCTATTAATATATTTTAGTTAAGTTTATTTTTGCTAAAATGAAAAAGTTACACTAATTATGTAAGAAAAAATATAGTACAAACTCAACATGGACTTTAATGTTTATATTCAAGAAAGTTTGCTATTAATATATTTTATAATTATTATCTTACTCATTCTTAAAACCTTATTTGTTAAATGGTTAGTCTAGATTCATGGTGTACAACCTTCGGCACAACAAATACTTGATTCTTTCATAGCCTACTGTATGGATAACTGACATTTATGTTATAAAAGAAACTCAATTTGTTGTTGAAATGAATTAGTACCATGGATACCTAATAACATTTACAAGTATTGGCATTACTCAAATAAGATAATTAGTATGATCATATTAATAATTTAAAATGAGTCATTAGTGATAAATCAACGATTGAAACTTTATTTGTGTGTGGTTTCTAGTTGAGTAATAAAAAAAATTTGTACTATTTTTATTTGAAATAGGTTTCCAGTTGAGTAGTAAAAAAAAATTGTACTATTCTTATTTGAAATACTATTAGTGGATCCTCTAACCTTGACAATTGTTTTATCTTTATTTAATCTTTACATTAATATCACATCTCCAAAGTTTTCGTCAACTATGTTTCTTTTATTATTTGTGGTTTTGTATAATTAACTTTCATGTGGATCGACTCCGATCTTGCCATGTTATTTAATCGACTTCGATCTTGTCAGATTATTTATTACTTTGACACTCTTGTACTTGGGAGAAGACATCAATTATTTAATCGTGTCAAGTTTTTGTCTTCTTCCAAATGCAGGAATGTCACTTTCTGACATAAGGAAAAGAACATGTTTAGAGAAAATTCTAAATCCTATAATATTTTTACCTAAAGAGTTATCTAGTCCATTGGGCTTTATTTAAAAAATAAAATTAGAAAGGAGTCTCGTGATACACTTGATATCTCAACTGCAGTTAACTTAAGATTCATGTTCTAGTCTGCAATGGTTGATCAAGGAAGAATGAAATATCCTATTAGAAAGCCACTTGGTTTCTTTGCATCTAGTTGATCCACGTATGGCCTTCAAAATAAGCATACATTGCATCTCACAGTAAAATGAACCAACAATCAATGTTTATCAAAGCCCTGAAAGGTTAACCCTCCTCATCTTTAACACACTGATTTGTTAGAGCCGGACAAAAACTTCACAGATTTGATGCACTTTAATCAACTTTAAACCTATTGGGAAGGTTGGTCTACTGCATACAAGTGTCAATAGAATATAAAAATTGAAGGACATGGCAAAAAGTGGACTATAAGAATCAATATCACTTCAAGAAAGTATAGAAACTACTTAGAATCTTAAGCTCTAAAGAAAAAATATGGTATGCTTACCATTAGAAGCTGAATTTCCATTGTAGATGGTTACAGGACTGGATAAGGTCAACTCCTTAATCTCTTGCGCCAATTGACGAATCTAAGGCACATGAGAATACAAAAAAAAAAAAACAGTCAACCTGAAGAAAAATATAATAGATTGCTGACAATCATCAAATACCCTGAGTCCAAATTTAACTAGTTACTATTCCGCACATTAATGCCCCCTTTTTAAGAAAAATGTTTGTTATCCTAAAACCAACATTTCCAAACATCAAGGTGAGTTGGCACGTTATTCATGTCAATCAGTTTGAAAAGATACAATCACCCCTTAGAAGATTCAAAAATCTTCTCAAAACTCACAGATAATAATACAACTACGACCATAAAGGAAGAAAACACGCATGGAATGCAGTCTATCACAATTTCAATGGACTTCAATTACCTAAAATTCTTTGGTTCTGGGAAGAAAACCCCCTTGATTTGATTAGAGGATTTCCTCCATGGGTTGATTTCACATAGGATCTCTAAAACTAGCAGTGCTAAACTAATGCAGAAATAAGTTATTTCAATTTATAACTAAAAAAAAAAAAGACCACATGAGCACACTTCTGCATTTCTTTAAACTGACATTGTTCAAACATAGTTGAGAAATCTGCTATTATATTTTATTTTTGTTCATGTATCAAAACAAGATGATTATCCCTTTGGGTTCTGCTTTTCTATGAAAACAAAATCCATTTCTTATTAATAAATAAATAAAAAGCAAATACCTGGGCTGCAAGAAGAGCACTATCGTATTTGTAGGGGGCGATCTCAACTTGATCAACACCCTTGAGTAATTCTTGAAGCTGCCCAATGAGTTCAGACAACCGTCCATTTTTCAAAATAATCGAACTAGTCAAACCTTAAGGGGAAAAAATAAACACACAGAGACATGATTGAAGGAATATGTTAGCATAAATAAGAACAATAAAATCCTATCAAATAACCATAGATTCGTAGATTTTTGCAACCAAACAAGAAGCAGAAAAGATAAACTCTACCAATTCAATTTATATGAGATGTTGATATTTGCAAAGCAAAAAACCAAGATTGAAAGAGATTAGATTCTTTATCGGGTCAATCATCGTAACAAAATAAATAAATTTCTATTCAAAGCTTTTATAAATATAATAGGAGAAGGGAAAGGAAGGATGAGAGAGGGGGGATCGACCTGCACCGACGAGAATGAGAACCTTGGATGTGGAGACCCCTGCCTGCAAAGCCATCGTTTTCTTCTTCCTCCTCTCGATGGAGGCTGCAGATGAGTTTTTGTGTGTATTTCTGCCGTTTTCTTTTTGCTCTGTCAAAAATCAAAAGGCTGGTTATAATTTTCGTGCTGTGTTGGACAAGGGAACCTTTCTTTGTTTTTTCCTGGGTTTTAGAAGTCAAATTCACTCCTGTGTAAAAGCTATATCAGCGACTGAGAGGTAATTATTGAAAAATAAAAAAAAAAACATATTTATTTGAATTGTTTCAGGCTTAAAATACATTTGACTTTGGATAAAATTATAATTTTTAATTATAAATCATGAAAAAAAATCATCAAAGTTATTAAATATAATTAAATTTCCTGAATTAATTAAAATTTTGAATAATAAATTTAAAAAATAATATATATTTTACGTAATATACTTAACAAATTAACTTGTAATTCAAATTGACTAATTAAAATTTTTTTTTAATTTAAAATAATATTATATTAATTTTTAAAAAAATTAAAACTATATATTATTTATTGATTTAAGTGAATTTGCCCAACATATAACATAGATGTTGTACGGAGACATGAAACGAGTTAAAAAAACTTGGTTGCCAGGAAATCTAATTTCCAAATTGCCATTGTTAAATGCAATGACTTACGGTGGGTTTACATTTTTTTTCCAAACCAAAGAAAAACCCCCTTTTTTTTTTCTTTTTTTTTTTTTGTACGTTTGCATTTTCATACTTGCATACTTGATTTTGTACTCACGTGTCATATAAAGAAGAGCCTATAGCACCAGCGTAGGGCTGAATTATTTTTTTGTGTAAAAAATTATATTTAAGTGCTGTAAATTTAGTTTTATGTTATTAAATATAATTCTAAATCACACTATTTAATTGAGTTAAAATTTTATAAGAAGATTTTATATTTTTTTATGTATATATTATATGATTTTTTTTATTTAATTCCTTTTGATTTGTGTATTTTTTATTTGGTAAAGATCTTTTTTCTACAAGGATATGGTAATTTGTTCTAAAAAAATTTTAATTCTACAAGGATTTCTAATGAGTTTCAATATAATTTTCAAGTATGGTAAAGATTTATTAATATTTTAAAATTATTTTCTCACAAGATTTTCTTATTCATCCTAGCTGTATAAGAAAAAAAGAAATGATGATTTTTAATGACAAATTAGTTTATAAGATTATTGGGCAGCATTATAGGTTATAAATAAACCTTATATCAAACTTGTATTGTTTTGTTTTCTTTTTCTCTTCTCATGGCAAAACAAGACTTAGATTTATTGGCTTTATTTTTATTTTATTAGTTACAATCCAATACTTGTTTAGATTTAATTAATATTTTGTTTTCATTTAAGATCCAATAATTGTTTTGATTAGGATTTGGACTTACTGGTAAAGGTTTTATATTAGTTTTTATAAGTGGATCAATTCAATTTTTCATAACTATCTAAACACATGTAAGTTTAAATTTCAGAACTTTTAATTAGTAATACGTCTAAACTTTTTCAATTTAACATGTTAAAGAGATTCTTGCATTTTTTGGTTTTTGAACAAATTGAAACTAACTTATCAAAGATTATCTAACTTCGTGGCATCATTCGATTTCATTCTAATAATTTTGGTGTCTTAGAACGGATTTCCATTGTGTTACACTCTTATCAGACTTGTTTTAGCTTTTCAGGATCAGATTTCAATCTTAATTGTAGGTTACATAATCAAGAGGTTCATATTATATTTTTTTATCTTTTTTAAAGAAAAACCCTTGACTTAAATTATAGATCCAATTGAGTCAAATAAGTTGATTTTATTTTAATTAGATGATAAGAAAAAAAAAAACAACAACAACAATTGGACTAAATAAAACGAAAATAAAATTTCCATGATATCACGGGAGAACAAAGCCTTTTTCTCCAAAAAAAATAATGTAACTCAATTCCTAACCAATTAAATACAAAATGATGAAATTAGGTTAAAAAATGATCTGAGTCAACCCGAGTTAACATGATAAATCTATAACTCAAGTAATAAGGGTCGAGCCAACCCAATTAATCCTCCAAACCCACAACTAAGGTAATGAAATTAAGATAACTCAATAAAAAAAATCACAGTCTCTTTTTAAAAAAAAAATTCAAATGATGAAAGCTGGAGTGAAAATAAGTAGAAACAAAAATGAAGTTAACTATGTTAACTTTTAAAACATATGATCCATTTTATTAGACTAAAAACAACATATCTAGAAAAGTCACGAGACTCAATTCTCAACTAATCAAATATTAGGATGAAATTGAAAAAATAATTCAATTAAACAAAAAGGATCTAAAACAAAAAATACCAATTAAAAAAATAAGAATCAAAATTAAAATTAAAAATAAATTAGAGGACAACTATATTTTTTTATTGAAGAGTGAAATTGAAAAGAGAAATAAATTTAACAAAATGATAAAAAAAAAATCAAAAGAATGAGGACTACATTAAAAAAATAACATTTCATAAACTATGATTGAATGGTGAAATTAAAAAAACAATTTCTTTTACAAAAAGACCAAGAACAAAAATTATAAATCAAAAGTCAAATTTAAAATATTTATAAATAAGAGGACAACTCTAAAATTTTAAATAACTAGTATGAATTTTGAAAGGATAGGAGAGAGAAAAAAAAAAAAGCACCGCCAGTGACAAATCACCTCGCCAACATCGCTAGTGCTGACTTAATAGGAAGAGGATATCACAATAATTTCAATAACAAGGAGGGAGGGGTTTTTTGCTTTTAGAGACATTGCACGCGCTGCCAAAAGATTGGGAGCACCTCCCACACGTTAACACGTGCATTGCAGTGTTAGTTACTTTTGAATTTTTTATTATATTTTATATTTATTAAAATACTAAATTATCTTCTAATCAATATAATAATAACTAAATAATAACATGAAAATGAGAGAAAAAACCTTGGACATCAATTTAAAATTATTTTCTTTTTAAAGGATAATTTAATTATTTCCCAATATTTTAGAAATGAAAAAAAACCAAGTTATTTTTTATTAATTTAATAATAATCAATTAACCTTGTGAAATGATCGCATTGCCCCAGCAGCTAGTTTAATAATTTTTTTATAAAAAAAAGCAAAACTATAATTATATTATTTTAGTTAACAATAACTCAAATGAGAAATAATGTCATTATAAATATAATGTTTTCAAATATATGAAATAATAAGATAAAGTTGACGTTATAATAAATATAAGTATTCATTAGTTTATAATCACTTGGAAACGATTTATTTAAGAATTAAATAATATATATTTATTTAAGATAACATTGTGTTCTTTAATTGAGATAATATTTAATTATTTGTAATTATGAACCGATTCATTAATTTATAAAAATTTAAAATAACTTTTTTTGTTCATTAAATAATTTTATAAAAGTTTGTAATAATTTATTTAAAATAAAATGAATAATGTGGTTGTTGTTCAGGATCTTCCTAGCTAGTTGGTCAGGGGTGTGCTGCATACTCAATTAAAATTAATTTTAAACACAAAAATAATATATGAAGGCATTGTAAGCTTGTTCTCTAGCATCGAAGGAAAAAAATTAATTGCAAACTAAAAATTGGATGCATGTATTCAATAAAAAAAAAGGACAATTACACATATTAATAAATGTTAGGAAGAGTTGTTAAAGCTAAAAAAAATAAAATTGATGTAGATTAAGATACTCAAAATCATGTTACGAAGAGCTCTTAAATTATTATTTTTTAATTATATAAACATTTTTTTTGTAAGCAAAGGAATAATATAAATTTCTTTAAAATATAATAATTTGCTAATATGGCAATCACATTCCATTGATGCAGATCAAGACAATCACCTTTTTTTTTAATAGAAATATAAATTTTTTGTTCTATGTTCTTTATTTAACAAAAACCAAAAGAAATAAGAAAAAAAATATAAAATACTTGGATGATTTGAAATAAGGATTGAAAATGTATTTCTCTAATTAAAATCACTTTATCTCATTAATTAGCTCCATTTTTTTTGGCTTTTTTACTATAATATTTGCTTTTCAAACAATATAATATATTAGTCATATAGGCAAGTTTTAATTGATAAAAAAAATAATATTATGATCATTTGGATACCAATGTATTAAAAAATATAAGAACAATACATTATTCAAGCATTGTAATAGTAAGTGTTTTGGCAATGTTATTAAAATTAGATTGGAATAACGGGTCAACTTGGAGCCTTAGCTAGGTCAACCCGTCAAATTTATAATTTAAATTATATATCTATTTAGGTTTAATAACTTTTTTTAGAATTTATTTTTCATTAACTTATACAATAATAAAATATACATGAGCAAGAAAACTTTCCATACAAGTTAAGAAACAAAAAATCACCAAGAAGAGCTATAAAAAAAATTGCATTAATGTCATAATAAAAAAATATATTATAATATTATTATTCAATTAATGCTAATACTTGTAAATGTTGTCAAACATTCATGATTATAACTTATGTTAACAACAAATCAAGTTCCTTTTATAGCATAGATGTCGGTTATACCATACAGTATGAGTTATGAAAGTGTCAAGTATTTATTGTCCAAAGTATGAGAGTTATGAAAGTGTCAAGCATTTATTGTCCAAAGTATGATGCAACATAAATCTAAATTAGTCATTTAACAAGCAAAGTATTAAAGAGTGAATAAGATAACAAATATAAAACATGTTAGTATCAAATATTAAAGTTCATGTTAAGTTTATACTATACTTATTCTTACACCATTAGTGTAACCTTTTGACCTTAATATAATAAATTTAGTTAAACATAATGAATGAGATTAAGAATATAAATAAAATAAAATTTAACTAAGTAAAGGAAAAGAAATGAAAGACATAAACAAGATATTAATGAAAACAAAACTTAAGCATTACAAAAAATACAAAGAGAGAAAGCAAAAGCATGATATTGATTTGGAAATCAAAATGCCTAAATGCATGGTAAATACTTCCTTTTATAGGTCAAAATTGAAAATGATTGATTTGATGACTAATTGATAAGTAGGCGGTTAACTCTTGACTTAATGACAATTCTTTTTTTGTCTGTCTAAAA